AGTGCCGGCAGCGGCTGAATCTGGACGCCTGGGACAGAGCAGCTGGGGCGCTGCCAGGTTGGTCCCCGCAGCGCCACACCTTGGCGCTGCGGGGACCAACCTGGCAGCACCCCAGCTGCTCTACCCCAGGTGTCCATAAGTCAGCTGCTGCTGAAACTGATCAGCGGCTGATTCCAGGAAGCTCGGGGCAAAGCAGCGGTGCCTCAGGCTTCCTGTAGTCAGCCGCTGGTCAGTTTCAGCAGTGGCTGACTTGGGGAACCCTGGGGTACAATATGTACCAGTTCCGACTTACATACAAATTCAACTTAAGAACAAACTTACAGTCCCTATCTTGTACGTAACCCGGGGACTGCCTGTATTATTTATTTTGCAGTATATATAACTTAAACTTACTAGGCATGCATAATGTTTTAGAGACAGATAAAATAATATCCGTTATGCTGGATGTTACAAATATGATAATAGGTGCTTTTCCAAGGAATTTACCTTGCTTGCTTATATCTTAATAGGAATGTATAATATTATATAAAAGGGAAGTTATTAGAGCTAGCTGGCTTTTTGCTTCATGATTTTTCATATAGTTTTTATTTCATGACGCTTGATGTCTTTTAGTAATCTATAGAGCTGTTAATCCATTTTCACTTTAGAAAATGATTGTAATGGATCTTAACCTTCTTTTTTAGAAGCCTTGTTGACACGGTATATGCATTAAAGGATGAAGTACAGGAATTAAGACAGGTTGGTAAATAGTGCTTATTGTGTTTTGTTAATGCTTGAGGATGGAGTGGGAGTGCGCAGATTGTACATTGTAATTGTGGCAAATAATTATTAAAGTTAGTAGGGTTAATTTTTTTTTCATTAGCAGAGTTAGGACTAGTCAACTATCCGATAAGCAAATGCTTATCGGATAGTTAACAGGATTGTCGACTCGTCGCTCCCTCCTCTCCCCGCCTGCCCTGCTGCCTCTATCAGATAGAGGGAAGGAAGAGGGGGGGTACTTCAAAGTGGCAGCGCCTCACAGCTGACCCCGGGCGCCATGCTGCAGCAGCATTTCAAAGCAGCAGCACCATGTGCAGCTGGGGTCAGCTGGACAGTCCCCAGCTGATCCCGGGCTCCCAGCCACTTTGAAATGCTGGATGGAGCCTGGGGTCAGCTGAAGAGTCCCGAGTTGAATCCAGGCTTCATCCAGCATTTCAAAGCGGCAGCACTGCTTGGAGTCCAGGATCAGCTGGGCTCTTGTCCAGATTACAAATCTGACTGTAAACAGTAGACACACACACCTTCAATCTTGGGAGCTTTATTGTAATACTTACTGTATCCTCTGGTTGCTTCCCCCAGACCGCACGAATATCCCCACTGTCTCCACTGGATTTATTATTATTATTGTTATTAATAATTAATAATAATTTATTTCAGTTTGAAGCACCCTGTGTCCCCAAAGGCTGTGGGTTGAATTTCAAACACAGGGCAAAATTCTGGGACTTGGATTCACAATTAAGGGGTGAAAAGGTGTAATTAGAGGAGTTGTTTTCGTTTGTTTGACTAGTAGTTTTCGAACTGGAAGTGAAGTCACAAAACACGTCAGGAGGAATCAAGAGTTGTGTTCTGATCAATAAAGCAATACCATTTCCTAATAAAGCAAATTAATACTCAGTGAGTCTTGTTTTAGGTTTGTGAATCTTATTTGCATGTAAAGAACTTTGAATTATCAGTAGTTCTTATCAGGTTTCTATTTATTTCGTCCTCTTTCTTTATTACAAATATATTCCATAGTAGTTATTTATATACTTCAACTCTCACAAGAGACTTCAAACTTATTTTCTACTAGCTGGACTTACCTGGCATTGCCCAGGAAACCGGAGGAACAAAATTTATAAAAACAGAAGCTGGTCCTGACAGCCGCCAGCCACACCGCAGCTGCCAGTGCCTGACATCTGGCCATTATGGCAGACCCCCGTGCTTTTCTACTGCTGCATAAAGCAAAATCTCGGACTCAAAGAAGAGGCATTGCAATGTTGAGAATCAGAGCTATTTGACTTGGCAAACTTAGATATAAAAGTAACCTTTTTCTCTTTTTTCTTTCCATGTCATGATTCTGGGAGCCATTAAAAGCACAGTGGAAGGGAGAGCCCCCAAATCACCATGGCTTGTTTCCCCACCATTGCTGGAAGCATGTGGAGGCCTCTCTTCAATAGTGAAATGTTTTGCTCCTATCAGATGGTATTTTTGCTCATTATCCTTGTAGAATCTAATGGTTTTTTGTTAGGGAAGTAGGAGATAGACATGCTGGGTCTGCAAATTCTCATCCAAGAGCTGAGTATAGGGATGTCTCAATCAATGGGGCTGGCCCTACTGAATCTGAGAGATTTCAAGGTGACACCTCAAACTTTTCTCCCATCTTTTTTGATGAAACTGAGTCAACTACCTGAGCCTGCTCTCACCTGTATAGTCCCTCCTCTAGCACCCTAATGCACCTCCTTCCAGACATTTTTTCAAAGTGGCAGCTGAGCAGTAACACCAGCCCCGCCCCCACGACTAGAGCGAGCCCCGGCAGCAACCCACCCGCCCATTGGTTGGCCACTGGACCCTGAGCCAATCGCAGTATTGAAGAGGGACCTCCATATGCTTCCAGCAATGGTGGAGAAGCCGCTTCTCCCCGCACTGCCAACCTCCGTGCAGTCCCAAGGAGAAGCGTTGGTCTCTCATCTCTTCCCTCCCACAGAACCTTAAAACCTTTTCCTGGAGGAAAGGTTATCCCATGGAAAGTTTGGTTGCCGTAGGTTTTACAGTGTCCAAGTTATTAGAGCACAAACATACAAACATTCTCCTTTATATAGGTATATAGATTAGATTTATGGCTAGTTTCCACTAATAAATTTGTATGAGAGAGAAGCATTTTAGTTTCCATTAGGCATTTCTGCTTCACTCTACCAAGTAATTGTGTAAATAACTTTTGAATGTTGAAGAAATACAACACAAAATAGTCACATGAAGCCACAAAATCGTAACAGACTTTTACTTTAAAAGAGCCATTCAATTAGCAGCATGCATTTTGGGGAGGAAAGATAAGTGTGCTGTTGAAAAAAGTTGCCATAAACTATTTGTCCTCTGTTTTACAGGACAACAAAAAGATGAAGAAATCTTTAGAAGAAGAGCAAAGAGCTCGCAAGGACCTTGAAAAGCTTGTTAGGAAAGTGTTAAAGAATATGAATGATCCTTCTTGGGATGAAACCAATTTATAACTAATATACCATTGTTTGTTTCTTTCTATTGAAAGACCAGTTGTCAAACCAAGCTGGGCAGCCTTCTGACTAGTCAGTGTTGCACCAAGAGCACTACAAAACAGGATTTAACTGGATCTAATGATTTTTCTTGCTTGTAATGTATACAAACAAGTCAAACCTTTCACTGAAGCAATCAATAAGTGTGTGGAGACCATGGATCCTGAACTTTACAAAAGTTAATTTGTTTTCATCCAAATTACCTCATTTTGCAGAATGTGCAGCAGCTGACTAAAAAAGTCCATGTTTTTCAGTGGCTTTTTAATTAAATATATATATTTTTCATGTAAATATTTGTAATTTTGAATGCCTATGTGATTGATGTATCAGGGCTGATACGTTATACTGTACTTCCCCCGCCCCCATTATATTGTCACAAGTTTTAGAAATAACAGTACACTCTCACCTCAGACAGATCAGAGTTCTTTGATGGAGTGTTTGGATCATTTGTAGGTTTGTTTCAAATTATCCTACTCGTATCACATGCACAAATCTACAAAATTTATTTTTTCTGATTGACCAATATATTTAAATCATTTAATTAACATTATTTATGTCTGTGCAAACATTTAAACACAGTTTTAAATGCTTTTGAAAACAGTATTAAATCAAAAGAGATACAATAAATTGTGGATTGACGCCATTTTTTGTTTCATTTCTAATGCCCCCATAATTGATATTTATTTACACATATTTGGAGCACTAATATGCAACACTATTTTGACCAATTAAAGACTGATGTACTTGCTTTTTTTTTTTTTAATGACTGTGATTTTTAGGTGTTTATGTACATTTTCTGTTGTCGTGCATGTACTTTAACATACACTGGCTGATAATGTAATGGAACATACATGCCGTTTTGTCAAAGCAAAAAAAAAAAAAGGGCCTAATCATAATCAAACAGAAATTCTCATTAAGCATAGGCCAGTCAGGTTAGGCCAGCCTAATGACAGATTTTTGTTCTTTCTTTACTAGTCAGGATATTTTTATTCAGAACACCCTTAGTGGAAGAATTTTCTGTGCCCAATCCCTTTTTCTTATCACATGGAAGACAATATTGTTTTCCTTTCAGCCTGAATAAACAGAAGCAAGTTTAGAAATAAGGTTTGTAATTGCAAATAGCCTTTTCATGGCATCTGTTATACTGAAGTGTGTTTCATAATTTGCAACTCTGGTAAATTGGAAGCTCAGCAATGCATACAGAGAGCATCACAAAAAACATTCAGTGTGTAGGTTTTAGAAATGCAATAATTGTGGTGTCTTCCTAGATTTAAAATAGAAGACACTACAGATCTGCAGCTGATACCCTCCTTAAGAATCCAATTCAGAACTCATTGAAGTTGATAGTAAGACTCCCATTGACTTTAGTAGGCTTGGATAAGGACTAGGAAACACAAATTTCTACTCTGTTTAATCATGACACTAGAGGAGAGGGGTGTATCCTCATTTAAGTAATATGTTCCAGCTCCTTCTCTGTTCTTTTCGTCAGCTGACAGCAGCCAAAAGTGGAAGTTTAGCATAAGCACCTGTATGTCAAGATTCAGCACTGGCTTAATTATTGTTATAAAAAAGGCCATAATCTTTATTCAAGTGGTTCCATCTACTCCAGTGGTGCTTACTGTAGCCCTGATTCAGCAAAGCTCTTAAGCACATGCTTAAATTTAAGCTTGGACTTAATTCCTATTGATTTTATCGTGAAGTACATACTTAAAGGCTTTGTTGAAACAGAGCCCATATGAAGGCAAATAGAATGAGATTTGTTTCTTGTTGTGTTTAAGTATTAGTATTTTTGTCTGTTAAACCATTTTAAAAATAGAAGTGATGCTTATTTCTCACATTTTTTCATAGGGCTCATGCCCTGTTGTGTCACATTTTAGCAAGATGACTGCTGAAGAGTGTGCTCTGAAAAGTCCATTTTATCTACAAACTTCATTTTTCATATGCAGTTTTTAATTAATCTCTGGTGAAAAGTGATTTTTTTTCAAATTGCTTGGCTGAGAAAAATGGATAGAGATTTCTTTTAACAATGGGTAAAAATATCTCTTAAAAATTACATTAATTGCTTGGGAATATAATATTGGGGATCTAAGTGGGCACTTAGACCCTAAAAGACCATTTTAGACAGCTAAATATATTTTTAGGCACTTGATTCCATATACTCACATTTGAAAATTGATCCTCTGGCCTATATTTTTAAGGAACAGACTGAGTAAAAGTTAAAGCATTCAGGTGTGTGAGAATGTCTACTGAAAAAGATCGAAGCTGCTGCAGTTGATCTTCCAGGGTTTGAATTAGCGAGTCGAGTGAAGACATGCTAATTCGAACTTAGAGGAGCACGCCAGTCCATGCTGGTAATGCTGCTTTTAGGAAGAGTAAGTGAAGTTGAAGGAAGTGTGTGCTCTCTTCAACTTCCTGCAGTGTGAACAGCGCCAAAAGTTGAATTACGGTATTTCAACTTCAGCTACACAATTAACATAGCTGAAGTTGCGTGTCTTAATTTGACCTTATCCTGTAGTGTAGATATATTCTGAGAGCTTTGTAGATATCTTCCCAAAAACTCATTATTAATTATAATGTCTTACCTTGAAATGTTTTCCTGTTGCTGAAATCAAACCAAACTGTTGGGCTGATATATTCAATTAGCATTTGTTTAGCATACTGTATATCATTATTTAGAAAGAATAAGATGCATGATACTAAATATCACAAATTTATAGTGTTTTTGCCGAATTTAGATTTAGGAATACCATTGCAATTTGAGTTTTATTCAGGTATGCTGAAGTTGTAAAAGTTCAGGCACTGAAATTCAAGTGATTTACTCAAGCTTTTATTTTAGTGTGAATTTTAATCTTCTGTTGAGTACCCGTGAAAAGACATTCCAGAGGAAAAACATGAAAGGAAGATATTTAATCTAATAGTATTCAGTAAATTTTAACTCAGGAACAGCTTCTATCATAACATGATCTTATTTTACATTGCATTGTAAACAGTAGCATTGCAATGTACATTTGCTGACAGTACATATGAGATCTAATTTTTTTTTTACTTTGACTGTACCCTCATACTGATATCTTAATGAATATGCCTTTGATATTATAATTAAACAGTTAATATCATGATATAATGATGTTCAAAATGGATTGGGATGAAATTGGTATTAAAACCACAGCAAAAAGGCTAATACAGTATGTTACTTTTTGTCATTACTTTAGCTCTACAAAAGAGAGCAAGATCAGGGTTTCGGGAATCAAGAAATAGTTAACTGTTCTTCTAAAATTTGTTATACTGTATAAAGATTGTAAATTTCACTATGTGACCTTCTGACTTGTTGGGAACATTATATACGCATGGATAAATGGGGCACTGTTTATTTAACTTATTAAAGGGTTGTTTCTTTGCTCTCATCATTTAGGGATGAGGAGGTGAAGCCATTTCTCATCCTATCGATGTGAAGCACTTTCAGTTCTAAACTGTTAAAAAATGTAGCATAACATTACTGTGTACTTAAATAATGTATGTGCTTGTTTGTTTCACCATGTCATGACATCTTAAAAATTAAACAACTGACTGCCTTTGTATAAACATTTTTTATGCTAATCATTTAAAGAATGTAGGGTATCCATTTACAATAATTGTGGAGAATTCAACCATAATCTACGCTTTACAGATAATGTCCTGATAGTGATTACTATATTTTTGTATCAGATTGATGTAATCAAACAATTATTTTTCCCCTAAGAGTTAAGTTTCATCTAGTGTGTGATGCACAACTTTAATATGAAGGAAAACATTTTCCCCTTTTTTTCCTGAATTATAGATATTTTTATAATTCAGTGTGCTATCCTGAAAAAAAATACCTTTGCATAGGATTTATATTGGCATACATATTAAGACCTTGATACCAATAGGAGAAATGGAAAGAGAAGACAACACAAAACTGGGGAAAAGATAATATGAAATGTAATGATTATACCAACAGCAGTTTCCTAATCCTTAATCCACTAGATGAAGAACAAGGAGCAAAGAGATGAAGTGTGGGTGTTTAAGGAAGAAGAATGGTCTTACAGACATACTGGAAAAATAGGTAAACGGAATAGAAAGGGAAAAGATGTCATTCTAGTTTAGAGGTGGTCAAAAAGTGATCCATGGGCTGATGTGCTTCACCAGGGGTAGCTCCTAGCAGGCCACCAAGAGGTGGTCAAAAAGTGATCCATGGGCTGATGTGCTTCACCAGGGGTAGCTCCTAGCACCTAGGCCACCAGGTGTTTTATTTACCTGCGCATCAGCAGGCATGGCTGCCTTCAGCTCCCTTTGGCCAGGAATGGTGAACCGCGTGATCTGACTTCCGGGTGCCAATATTAAAATTGATAATTTTATCGGGGCCAGAGTGGAATCTACATAGTACGTGCCCGTGTGAACTAATACATGATGTACAAAAAGATGGAAGAAATAAAATGAAAATATAAGAGAAGAAAAACTATCTCTGCATGTAATACTTCTTAGGGCTCTTATAGTCCAGAAAAAAAACAAGGAAGAATAAGAATTGGGTTAAGGAGTTGGCAGAAAGAATGGAGGGATACAAGGTAACAAACAAGCGGGCTTACTTGGTAGGTCCATCATAAACATATGTTTGGATATCTTTCATACTTAAAACATTAATTTTGGTTTACACAATCTGTCTAGGATAGGATAGGGAAAATTGTGAGTGATGATCAAAGGTTGAAGCTAACTTCATAATATAGGCCCAATTTTTAAACTTCCCTTGGATACCCCCATGATAAAGCAATCTTCCTGAAGTTTAAACTTTGGGCAGCTTTTCTAGGAATATAGTAATGAAAAAATGAGTTAGTGTTAATTTTTTGCCTGATGTTCACTTTAAATATTTTCTCTTCTGGCTTCTCCTAGCTTCAGAAATGGTTTGGCCTGCCAACTCCAGGCATATTTCGTTGCTGATGTTGCTGAGAAGTGTCTTTCCATTTTTTTTTATTGTGGGGAGGGGCACTGTGAGGTGAGCAAGTCTAAAAAATAAACAGTGTACAAATCCTTATGCAGAGGTCCCAGTCTAATAGTTTAATTTATGGGACTCTCCTAAACTCAAATTGGACTACTTGCATGAATAAAGTTAATTTTGAATGTCTGCAGGATTGGGAGCTATGGTAGGCATAGCAGGACTTAACTAAGTGTATGTTTCTGCAGAGATATAAATAGAAAATACAGGAAGGATAGAGATGTATCTTGAAGGGAAGAGGAAATGTTCTGCCCTAAGCTAGCCAAACAAATGTGAACTTGGAAATTGGCCACTTTGTTCTTTGTATAACTGATATTAATGCATTTTTTTAAGTTTCTCAGCCATTTTTAGAATTTCTCTCAATTTATATTTTGTCCAAGCAGCTGAATTTCATGTTTCATAAATGTGTGAAATGCATTTTCTGAACATTTTTGAGCATTTCATACCTGTTTAAATTTAAGCCATTGTTAATCTTTCACAGTAAAAGCTCTGTTATCAAGCACTTAATTAACCAGAAAGCTCAATTAACAGGCATTTCTGATACTGGCCGATACAAATCTTCAACCTAGTAACTCAGACTAGTATACTGCCCAGTGCATTATGCAACTGGATATTCTGCTCAATTTTTATGCAAAAGCAGAAACCACGCAAGCTGAAATCAGAGTTTTATTTTAAAAAGCAGCTTCCAGGTTGTGTCTTACTCATTATAGATTCAGCACAATCTCCTACATCTTCCTCATCTGCAATGATAATTGAAGTTGATAATGATGAGACATGGCAAGATCCTGAAATGCCTTCTGAATCAAAGGAAAATTAAATTATGTTCAGTATGGTTTTAGGGTTGTGTATTTTTAGTGATCTGGCTATATGCCGTGCACTGCTCATAGTGATAAGATAACCTATTGTATAGAACATTTTACCTGTATACACATAAGTGCTTCAAGAAACCAATCATTCTGCAGTGCAGTACTACTACTGGATTGGGGAGTAATTATATAGTGTTTTACACTTCACTCATCTTATTATATTCTAATTCTTTGAAAATTGATATTTCATTGATAAAGTAGAACTCCCAGTCAACCACAATCTTTGATTAACCAGCATCTCCAATTCCCCTAGCAAACTGGAGAATAAAGCTTTTACTCCCCAAAGCATTTTCACAAGTGTTTGGAAGCAGTTTGCAGGAAAATGACTGTAGATAGCTGGAAGGAACAGCTGATGCCCCCAAAACATACATGTCTTAAGTTTACAGTCTTATCAGTACTGTGAGAGAATATAAGAATGGCTATACTGGACCAGACCAAAAGTCTACCTAGCCCAGTATCTTGTCTTTCGATAGTGGCCAATGCCAGATGCCCCAGAGGGAATAAATAGAGGCTATATCTACACTGCAATCTTTTTCAGCTTTTTTTGGAAGAGGCTTTTCTGATATTTGGCTCATGTACACGGGGCCAAATGTGGGAAAAACCTCCTCTTTCGGAAGATCCCTTATTCCTCATTTTATGAAGAATACAGGGCTTCCGAAAGAACACCAGTGTCTGATCTAGGTCCAGATGGCTTGTAAGTGAGCAGGGCAGCTGAGGAAACAGACGCACTAGTTCTGTTGCTGGTGGAACTGTTGGTGTTGAGGTAACTTCCTCAGGATAGCGGGCTCTGCAGCAACTCAAGTTTCTTTATGATACTGAAGGTTCTGCGCTGCTCTCCTTGGTCATCTGATTCCCCAGTCATGGCTTGTGCTGTGCTGCCTCCTGACCCTGCAGTTCACTTGGTTATATGTGTATACTTTGTATGATTTGCATTCCCTAAGGCACAGAACACAACACATACAGGTCTTCTTGCCTTTTACAGTTGCAGAATCTTAGATTGTTTTAAGTGTAACAATTAATCTGATTTTATCTGGAAACAAACATGGACAGAAGTGAGTATTAGTGAACCATCGCATTGGAAAAAGCTTCTGTACAATCTGATTATTTGGGATGATTTCTGTCCATAGAATGTTGTATTTTATTACAATACGTCACTTAAATATAGGCAGTTATACTTGCAATAATTGTATCCCATAGAGTGGGTTTTAGTTCGCCTGTCATGTTGAGATATTCTGGGGAATAACGCGGTAAATAAAATAAAAACCCTAAATAAAATAACAGAGGCTACATATGTATGATGCTTGGCTACCTGGATGCTTGACTCAGAGTGCTCCCCTGGGGGATGATGGCAGAGGGATTCTCCTTTGTGATGTAGAGACAATGGAGACATTCTGAAACTGACAGCTCAGCCATACGGCAACAATTGCTATCTCCAGTGCCGAGTCCCTGCTCATGAAGGGAGTCAGTAGCCAGTCAATCCACATACTGACAAATTGACTGGTCCTTGCCCCAAAGCTGAACAGGGAGTAAGGGAGTACAGTAGAAATAAATCGGGTCTGCCTAAAAACTCACTCAAAATGACATCTGTTGAATTTGCGGCAACTCTTGTGCTCCTCTTCCACAGCTGCTGTGATGTAAGTGCTTTTCATGCCTGGAAGGTGCTCCAATACCATGGTGATGAGCACAAGGGAAACCCAGCTGGGTACAAAGTAACAGAAGGGTGAGGGCTGTCTGGATTCTCTCAATCAGGTTGATTTTTTTTTTTTTTTTTTTTTTTTTTTTTTTTTTTTTTTAGTGAGAGGAAGAGCCTGGAGCTGATGGATTTAGAATTGCTTTGTGTGCGGAGGGAGGGAGGGCAGAAGGAGACGTAAGGGGGTAAAGTATTTTACTCAGGGATGATTGTGTGTCATTGCTGGAGATGGAATTATTTAGAGGGTGCCTTTCTTTTCCTGCCAACTTGTGTCAATTTTTTCCTGCTCCATTCCTCTTCCGAATCATGCTCTAGCCTTCAGGTATCTGGGTAAACCAGGACTGTGACAACACAGGTGTCTGCTGTGATGTCACAATGTTCTCTGATTGCTCACGGCTGTGGGTGGCAAGGAATGGCGGCAGCATCTTAGCAGGCAGGAAGTTGGTAAGAGAGAGAAAAGATTTGCCTGACTGTGAGCACTCAGATTGCTATTCCTCACAAATATATCCTTCTCCTTGACTTTCTGAAGGCTTTCAGATGCCACACAGAAGACTGGCTAGAACTCTTTTTCATCTGATTTCATGGCTTTTTCACAAGCTTTTGTCTTTAGTGCTCCCAACACAAAGGCTTCAAGTACATGGGTTGAACCCCCAGTTTATTTTTTTACTGTATTTCCTCACAGTGTATTCTCTTACATGTGCATTTGCTAAACTTCCTCCTAACTTAGACAGTACAATGAAATCTGCACCTTTTGCTCATTTGTTAAAGAAAAGATCTACAAATTTTATGCGGTATGGATTTGCAGGTAAGATGAGGGATTGAATCCATATGTTTTTGCGAATAAATGTATTGTCACCCCTTTGGCCCAAGCAGTAAACCAATATCTGGGTCTAGGACTGAACGGTTTCTGTTAGAAGGAGAAATTGATACCAGACAAGTATTTCTTTGGATTAATCCTGTTTGTTTATGCAGAGTGTACAAAGGCCTGTTTCCCTGAACATAGCATTAACCAACTGAAACAGGCCGTTCCCTTGCTTATAAATTCTTAGGTCTTCATTTCTGTGCTCAAAGAGCCCTGTTTACTTCTCTCCCAGGGCCATGCTCAATACTGTTTCTCTCACTCTGTTCTTTTTATTATGATGATGATTATTATTCCTCTTTCACACACAGCTTGTCTAACAATCCACTAATGCGTGCATTTGCATCCAGTCCCAGGAAATACTCTCTCATGACATGGTTTAGCCCTATTTAGGCCTTGCTATGTGGGCCATTGTCTTGCTGGTGGCTTGTGTTGTTTCCAGCTCAGCTGGAGACATCTCCACTGAAGAATCTCCCTAGGGTCAGTCTTTATGAGCGGAGGGAAGGACTAAGCACCTTATTCCTAAAAGGATCTATGAAACCCCTCTATGGGTGTGTCTAAACTACATGGCTCCATCAATGGAACCATGTAGATTAGGCTGATCGACAAAGGGAAATGAAGCCGCGATTTAAATAATTGTGACTTCATTTAAATTTAAATGGCTGCCACGCTGAGCCAACAAACAGCTGATCAGCTGTTTGTTGGCTCAGCGTGGCAGCCATTTAAATTTAAATGAAGTCGCAATTATTTAAATCGCGGCTTCATTTCCCTTTGTCGATCAGCCTAATCTACATGGTTCCATTGATGGAGCCATGTAGTTTAGACACACCCATAGAGGGGTTTCATAGATCCTTTTAGGAATAAGGTGCTTAGTCCTTCCCTCCGCTCATAAAGACTGACCCTAGGGAGATTCTTCAGTGGAGATGTCTCCAGCTGAGGTATGGGTGTTGACAAAGGAAATGGTTTCAAATGGGATAAGTACAACTGGAACTAAGTGCCTGAGATGCATATTAACTACTTTTTCCTGGGGTTGGGAACCTGTCATAGGGTGGCTCCTTCCTGGGAGCCTTCCAGCATTAGGCTGTGGCGCAAAAAGTGCACCCAGTCTCTGTTCCCATTTGGTTCAGCCGTAAAAGGATGATCGTTTCTCAGTGTCTGATATAAAACCATTCTATACAAACAGGGCCATCTCTAAGGGGAACGGGGCCCAAGCAACCACCTTGTGCCCAAGGCCCCGCTCTGCCTCTTCTTGCTCCTGCTCTACTCTCTCCTACCCCCATTGCACCTTTTCAACCAAGTTCCCTTCTCCAAGCTATGCAACTTGTGAGATTACCTGGCATGGGATGCAGCAGGGGGCTGAGCCCTCACACTCGCTGCAGCAGGAAGCAGAGCTACCCAGCAGGTTGTTCCACCTCACTAGCTTCCGTCCGGGTCACTCCACTTCACCATGGTAATGGGAAGCAGGGTGACCCAGCCCCAGCCGGCTCCTCCACTCTACTCCCCTGAACTTGTGTCGCTTGAGGGAGCAGAGCAGGCCAGGGCCAGGTTGCTCCACTTTCTGCTGCCATGGTGAAGCAGAGCAACCTGGCTGGGAGATGGTGGGGACAGAGCAGGCTGTTGTGTCACTCTGGTTCCTGTGGCTCCCACCGTTGCAGTGAGAGTGCGTATGTGGGAGAGAGGGGGCAACTCTTGCTGTTGCCAGGTGCCACAGGTAATCATCCCAGCCACCCTGGGTCCTGTGAGCTAAACTCAGTTCGGGAGAGTGTCCCATCCATAGGTATAAAACCATTCTATACAAACAGGGCCATCTCTAAGGGGAACGGGGCCCAAGCAACCACCTTGTGCCCAAGGCCCCGCTCTGCCTCTTCTTGCTCCTGCTCTACTCTCTCCTACCCCCATTGCACCTTTTCAACCAAGTTCCCTTCTCCAAGCTATGCAACTTGTGAGATTACCTGGCATGGGATGCAGCAGGGGGCTGAGCCCTCACACTCGCTGCAGCAGGAAGCAGAGCTACCCAGCAGGTTGTTCCACCTCACTAGCTTCCGTCCGGGTCACTCCACTTCACCATGGTAATGGGAAGCAGGGTGACCCAGCCCCAGCCGGCTCCTCCACTCTACTCCCCTGAACTTGTGTCGCTTGAGGGAGCAGAGCAGGCCAGGGCCAGGTTGCTCCACTTTCTGCTGCCATGGTGAAGCAGAGCAACCTGGCTGGGAGATGGTGGGGACAGAGCAGGCTGTCCTGGGTCACTCTGTTTCCCACAGTTCCCACTGCCACAGTGAGTGCAGGAGGCCCCGATCCCTGCTGCCAACCCACGCCAGACCCTCTCCCCCCCCAGGTAATCCCTTAGGCTGCCCTGAATCCTGTAACCCAGTGGTCCCCAACGTAGTGCTCACAGGTGCCATGGCGGGTGGCCACTCAGAATTGTCCTATGGAGGGACAGGTTCTGCATAAATAATCCCCACAAGCTTTGTAGTAAAACCACTCTCCAGTTCCCACAGTAAATACTAAAAGTCAGTGGTTTTCCAGGCCTCTCTCCCAGGACACGAGGCTGGAGTCATTCAGCCAAGAGTCAGTAGCAGCACTTTGTTTCAATTCCTTTTGCACCAAATCCAGAGTCCCACTCATCAGCCCATCCAGCTGAGTGTGACCAGACTCTTTTACCATGAGCCTTGTCATGGGGCAAGTGCACCATTCTTCCTCTTGGCAACAGAGTGAGTGTAATTATTTCCCTGCAGCTGTATCCATAGGTTGTCCCTTGTCTCCAGATAGTGTGGCCTAGGAGTGAAAGTCAATATGGCTGCCCTCTCTCAGGACTCTGTGTCCTAGTAGCCAGAATCAATATGGTTGCCCTCTTCTGCAGGACTGTGTGGCCCAGAAACAGAATAGTGCTGTCTTCAGTAAGGCAGTGTAGCCTGGTGGCTGGTCGGGGGTGTCGGCTGCTACGTGGGGATGGGTAGGGGGATCCGGACTTTTCCGATTCCACTGGGATGCAGTTCAGGGCCCTGACAGTGATAAGTATGCTGGTCAGTGGGGAATCCATCCAAAAGACACTGACACTAGTAGTCACCTTGAGCTACTTCCTACCCTATCCCTAGGACAGTGAACTTGGCATCTCCAAGGTCTCTGGTCTCCTTGATCTGTGCAGCTCTGTCACTCTTTGGCATCTCCTACTTCTTGGCATCTCTTCCATCGCTTGGGGCTTCAGTGAATCTGGGTCTGGAGCCTGCAGCATGTGTTCTCCCTCTTTGCCAGTCAGCCCTGAATGAGCGAGCTGTTTTCTTTTATACATATTTGCCAGTCAGAGCATGCCCAGCATGGCTGGGGGTGTGTGGCTTCCTCATCCCAGAGAGCAAAGACCCTATCACAGCCCCCCAATTCTGGTCTTCCAGGAGAGGCCTCCCAGTAATGTTCCATTCGTGGTGTCTGCTCCTGGGCTGAGTGTCCTATCTTGGTCCTTCTTCCTGGTGCAATTTCCCAGGTTAAGCTGAAACTTCCCCTTTTTTCCTAGGGGCTGTTGTCGGGCATGGGGGAGTTATGGTGGGCAAAGTGAGGGAACTTCAACTGGCACTTCAAGGGGAGTTCCTGAGGAACACAGGATAGTAGATGCCTGCAGATAAATCTGCTATGAACATGGCTTTGAACATACTGGCTATGTCTAGATTGCATCCCTTTTTCGTAAAATAAGGGATAAGGGATCTTTCAGAAAAGGCTTTATTTTCCAAAAGATCCATGTCTAGACTGGTGCTTTTTTCCAGCAAAGCTCCGTGTTGGAAAAAAGCGGCAGCCATTTTTATGCTAATGAAGTGGGGGAAATTTAAATCCCCATTTCATTAGCAATTGCGATACGTCTAATTTGCATCCCTTTTACGAAAAAGGGATGCAATCTAGATTTAGCCATTGTGTGAGTATGGCATGGGAAAAGATTTTCACAGGTTTGAACTTCATTTAAAAGTGGTTGAACAGAGCCATAGGTGGGCTATGTAATATCACCTCTTTTGAAGCAAGCCTCCAGAAAACTGCAAGCTTCAGAAATGCCCTCCAGCATTTGACAAAAGCTCACTTTCCATGTAGGACTTGCCCTAAGTGATTTCTTTAGGAGACTGTCTAGACTACAGAGCTTTTCCAAGGAATGCATCCATTTTTCTGAAAAAATGTCAGGAAAGCGGACACATTTTGTCAGCATCCCTGTAAACCTCATTTTACAAGGAAGAAGGGATGTTGTGAAAGTCTCTTTTTCTGACTTTTCTTTGAAGTGTTGACACTGCCTTCAGCTCAGATTTGTAAAGGTATTTGGACTGCGTCACTCAGGCTATGTTAGGAGGCTCCTCAGGCTATATCTAGACTACAACTTTTGCTCTTCTATTTTTTTTGGAAGAGGCTTTTCCAAAATTTGGCCTATCTACACTGGGCCAAATTTTGGAAAAAAAACCCCTCTTTTCGAAGATCCCTTCTTCCTTGTGGAAGACAGGGCTTCCAAAAGAGCGTGTCTGCTCTTCCGCAAAAAAAAAAAGCAGAAGAGCAGATGCATTCCCTGGACACAGTGGAGTTTTTCCAGGATACTGGAGGTATCCCGGGAAAAAACCCATAGTGTAGACATAGCCCCAGTGTCTCAAGGTTTAACTGATTTAGGGGCTTAAATCTCATTTTCAAAAGGGATTTGGACACTTAGGATTCTAATGGATTTAGCTCCTCCGCTCCTCTCTCTTACCATGAGATTTAAGGTCCTAGCAGTTAGACTTTGCAATGTTAGCACAGCAACACCTACATACTTTCAAAAACCTGAGTCTTAGTCTGGTTTTTATTGCTGATTCTTTTACATTTAAAAAAACATGATCACTTAGAAGTAAAGAGCTGTATATTACCTGGGAAGTTCTAAGCATACTCTGAGTATGGTATGTGTAGCGCTCCTAAAAGCTGCCTTTGCACATTGTAAATCAGGTTTTGTGCAAGCTGAATAGACATTATAAATAGTTGAGGAGCTCCGCCTGCTGGTTATTAAGTATGTCTGCCTTGTATGTGATCAAGCATCTTAAAATGTAACAAGGTCGGTAAAGGTAACTTTCTGAATAGATTCCGCTCCTTGAGTCTATCAAAGGGAACCTTAAAGGATGACTTGTTTAGTTGATAAATACCTGCATGGGGAATAAATGTTTGATAAGGAGCTCTTCACTCTAGCAGAAAAAGTTATTCCATGACCCAATGGCCGGAATTTGGAGCTAGACAAATTCAGACTGGAGATAAATTGTACATTTAGAATAGTGAGAATAATTAACTATGGGACAACTTACCATGTGTTGTGTGTGTGTGTTCTTCCTCACTGGCAATTCTTAAATCAAGACTGGATGTTTTTCGAAAAGAAATGTTATGCCCTGGTTTGTAAAGAAGTCAGAATAGATGATCACAGAGGTCCCTTTTGGCCTTGGAATATAGACAGAGCCGGCCCAAGCTACAGGCTGACTAGGCTACCACTAAGGGTGCTCCATTGTAGGGGGCACCACGTGGGGCTGCCAGACCAGGTGGAGGCGGGGCCACGCATGTGCTGGTGCCCTGGGGGCGGGGCCGCGCATGCACCGGAGGGCCGGGGTTGTGCTCCCGGGGCCCGGGGCCCATAAATGGCTCGGGCCAGACCTGAATTTAGGCATGGGTCTAACTCCAGCAGGAAAATAGGGATCAATGAAATAGCCTGAATACTGCAGATAATTCAAAATATTGTGGTGTGTGTGATTGGGGTGTAGGGGGCATTAATCTGGGCTGCTAGCACTGCAGACTTTGAAGTGTTTAACCACATAGGCCAAAACCAACTTTTGTAAGGTAATGAAAGAGCTACATAGTGCTCCGATACTCAAGAACAAGACTTCTGAAATTCAACAGGCTTTCTGATACCCAACTATCCTAGCGCCAGTTAATGTATTCAACTGAAAAATATAATCACTCGTGGATACACCAGGCACTATGATATGGTGATGCTGATAAAAGTCATTAAAATACCTCACTATTTCAGAGGGGAAGCAATGACCGGGGTTCTTGTTAGAAGAGAAGAAACTGAAAGGATTAGATGATGAACTAAATGATCATCTCATCCATTGTAGCCAGGGTTTTTAGGCATATTGGCTTAGGGCTGTAAAGGCAAGGCTTAATTAGGCAGGGCTTTCTTTCTTTCAAAAGCAATAGAATTCCATATCTTCTGACTCAGCTAGAGCACGTCCTTCAGAAAGATATCCAGTCCTGATTTAAATGTTTCCAGTGATGGAGGATCCACCACGCCCCTTTGTAAATTGTTTCAATAAATAATTACCCCACTATTAAAAAGTGTGTGTCTTATTTCTGTTTAGTCATGATTTTCCAGGGCCTTGTGCTAGTTTTCCATTCTTAAGCAATTTGCAGTATATGTGAAGCAAGACTGATTTAACCAGCAACCATACAAATGTTTTTCATAAGCCTGAGATCATTGTAAAAATATTTTTGTGCAAGACTGAAACAACAGTGGTGTTTCAAAACAGGACTTCAAATCCCCATCATTATGAAGAGAGAGATGTTCTGCAAACCCATGATTCTGAGCTACGGATGTTTCCAATTATATTTTACTAGCAATGCATTGAGCTGGCATTGTTCAGGTCCTTTACTCAATTTTTGTTGCTTGGAATATAAAATTAAAATCTTCATGCTTCATTTAAATCATTGTTTTGAGATGGAGCGGGGGATGAGGGGTTCAGTATGCAGGCTACCCTGGGAAGAGAGGACTGTGTTACCAGATTTGCTCAATACTATGGGGTATGCTCATTTATAAGGGTTACTCTTATGGGACTGGGGAAGGTTATGAATTCTATCAGTGCTTACTTGTGCTCTCATATGGAGCTGAATTCTCTCCCTGCTGTCAATACCCCCTCCCCCCCCACTGGAGCTCTCCTGCAGGAACTAGGTTCCTCAGGATGGGATTCTTCCCACTTTAGCAACACACACAGGCTACGTCTAGACTGGCATGATTTTCCGGAAATGCTTTTAACGGAAAAGTTTTCCGTTAAAAGCATTTTTGGAACAGAGTGTCTAGATTGGCACGGATGCTTTTCCGGAAAAGCACTTTTTGCAGAAAAGCGTCCGTGCCAATCTAGATGCGCTTTTCCGCAAAAAAGCCCCGATCGCCATTTTCGCGATTATGGCTTTTTTGCAGAAAACGAAGCTGAGCTGTCTACACTGGCCCTTTTGCGCAAAAGGACTTTTGCCCGAACAGGAGCAGCATAGTACTTCCACAAGAAGCACTGACAAACTTACATGAGATGGTCAGTGCCTTTGCGGAAATTCAAGCGGCCAGTGTAGACAGCTGGCAAGTTTTTCTGGAAAAGCGGCTGATTTTCCGGAAAAACTGGCCAGTCTAGACACAGCCACAGACACTCACACCCACTAATAGAGCATGCCTGAAAGGACTGGGTAATCAGCACTCACAAGCTGACCCCTCAGATGTCCCTGGATTTAGCAGGCTGGGTTAACAGCAATTCCACACTGCACCCTCATGAGCCTTTGGACTCCGTGACTGGATTAAACAGCACTTTAAGCTGCCATCCTCATAAACCACTGGGTTCAGCACCACTCTGTCCCCATTTATAAGCCGTAAACCACATGATAAGCAAACCCCTCAGGACTTTGGGCACTACAGGGATCTTTAGCTTGGGTACAAGAAGCGTTGTTGCAGAGCGAATGGGGAAGCCAAAACAACACCCCTTGAGGAAGAGTGAGTGAAAGAGAAAGAAAGAGAGAGAAGCAACCAGCTTAACAATGAAAGTTATTAATTTCTGGGTAGTGATAGGAGGCCAAACACACATAACAGTTACAATATTAAATCTAAATTGAAACTGATTACAAATGTTAGGGCTAGCTAACCATACAACAGCTTACATAGGGCAGAGTCAGAAGGTTAGGCTTAGAGAGATAGGTAGTTGGTGGGAGAGAGAGAGACCTCACCACTCTGTGGAACTTGCACTGATTGGGGTTCCCAGATGGTGATGGGAGCTGGGGGTCCAGAGGGCAGGAGACAAGCAGAGTAGAGCCCCCAGCACAATCAGACAGGAGATGAAAAAGTCTCAATGGAACTGATGCAGTTTAAATCCAGGTATCAGAACAGTTTTTCTTGGGCCAGGGTAGGAGTTTTGATAGGGATAGGACAATAGTTCAAAGAGAAACAGAGGCGGGACAATAGAGACTGATCACCCTTGGTTATGGGTGATGTTCCTTGAAAGAGCTCACAATGCAACTAGGCAGCTTCAGTATTTTGGATATCAATAGGATCCATTACTAAAATTGGTCTGATAATGACTAATTTGGGTGTGAGCAGGCCTGGCTTCATTAGCATCTGGAGCAGAGATTTCCCATCAGTCAGTGCTCCTCTGCTTTTGGTATCCCATAGTTCAGTGCGGTTCTGTTTTGGAAGAGCTGGTCTCCATTCTGTATGCTAATGAGTTCTATCTTCAATGCAGATGAGGCTGGAGTGTTTCCTTAATTAGTTTAGGTGTGTCTTCCCTGGCCTCTTCCTTGCTTTGTCTGATTCTAGCAGAGGCCTAGGGGAAGGGGGGATGGTTTTCCATGAATGTCACTCCCTGGCTCCCCAAGAGCACAGGGCTGATAGGTAACAACTGCCCCATCCATCTCTCACCACAGCAGCTCGGGGCCAGGTGAGAAGCATCTTGCCATGGCTGCTGCAGCTCCAGCAGGCAGAGTCAAGGGAGAGGTGCATGCCCCCAGCTGATGCAGGTCCATGTTCATCTGTTCCCTGCACAGCCCAGTCAGTGAGGAATGCAGTAAACTTCCCTCATAGCCTGACAAAAGGGCACAACCAGCAACATCTTCATAGAAATCAGAGAGGGGGGAGCGTTAGCACCCCCTGTGCTCCCAAAAGGGTGCCTGGGGGTTGGAGGGCTGGAGCAGTCCTGATTCTGTCTCTTCTATTTGTTTTTATGAGAAGCAATCCCATTCCAAGCACATTCCATTTTCCTGCCACAACCAAACACTTATCTAGCTTTAAGTTATGATAAGAGGAAGTCGTGTACCAAATTCTTAGTTCTTACCTGTTAAGAGGAGTTCTTGAACAAATGGCCAGACAGACAGACACACACTCAAATAAATAGTAGATTATAAAATTTCTATTGAGATATATATTGTTTTTTTTTTATTTAAAAGTGTTTTTCTTTTTATTGGTGCTTGTTTTGTGGCTAGGAAGTGATAAATTCTGCTTGTTCTTTTCCCTCCTATTATGAAGTATTTCTCATGTAGTCCATTTAATATGTCTATATATGGGTCTTTTTTAGTTTAGAATGTATTATTACCTAGTCCAAATGATTTTGTCTTCCCATTTCCACTTTATAATATAAACCCCTTCTTGATGCAAATGTTGAATGATTGAAAATGTCATTTACTAGGAAATCTATCTTTCTGTCTAGCTTTCTGTCGATCTTCTCTATCTTTTCTATCAAAATTGGAGTAAAAATTGCATGCACTTAAAATCTTAAAAAAGAAAATCCCATGGTAATTTAAACTTGGAGAACATTTAAATTTGGAATAATTATGCATTACAAACTGAATTCCAAAAATTTCTGTTGTCCCCATCTTCTGCTTGAGTGCACAAAGTGCTTACTTGGATTGGCATTGGCAGAAGCCTTCCACTGAAGTGTATTATCTTAAACTTTTGAAAACTGTGTTTCATTCTGTATAATTAACAATCTCATTTTGTTGGCTTATAAATTAAATGTATTCTATATCTTAGAATACTACTTTCAGTGGAATTGCATTACAAGTTAATGTTTAGTCTGTTGCTTAATTTTTAATATTTTGTTTTGGTTTTTTTTCGTAGTGTGTGAGCTTCCTCTGTATGAAATATGTTCCCAAAATGTATCCAGAATCCAGTGTTCAGTATTAGGATGTTGCTTCCATAAACAAATTTGCTACAAGAAAGCGGTGCCAGGTAAGTACTTAGAATAACAACATGATATACTCGAGATCCTAGTCCTTGTTTTTAAAGTGACCTTAACTCTAGTTTTATGCACCTTGCTCACTTCTCTCATTCCCCCAATGGCAGGATTTGGAAGCATGTTATGAGCCTGGTCCATGGCCCATTGATATCAACAGGAGCCTTTCCTTTGACTTGGTTAATATTAGAATACAGTTGACTCTTACGTACCTGTTTTTAATGTGCATATTAATCCACCATCTTTAAATGTAGATCAGTAATACATGCACATTAATCAAATGAGCAATGACATGCACAAGCCAAACCAAGCCTTGAATGACCTTGTCTATGATCGGGATCTTGAAATACTAATTTCACATATTGAATAGAAATTGCATTTAAAGCTTTGCTTGTATTACAAGATGTATTCATTTTAGCTGTTCTTATTATGTATTGTTGCTCATGCAGTTTGGTAAAACACTTGAAATCACAAATAAAGGCCTTTACCACTGCTTGATATATTAATTTAGCAGTGTTGTCACCTTTACTATAATATATGTTTTAAAATTATACACATTATCGGTACCATATATACATTAGTATGCATTACACATAAATAACATAGCAGTTAGCCTAAATTGGCTATGCCTTTATTATAATCCTATTCTCTTGTGTTAAGTATCCCATAATGCCTTGCATTAGTTGAAGTAAGCCTTAAGGAGATTGGAAAGTTGTCAAATCAAGATACAGTGGTTCTTTGTCTTACTACTAACTATGGAAGTAACTTCCTGGATGGCTACCTGAAATGCTAGTGGTCAAAACAAAAGATCAGGAAGGAACAGAACAACAAGTTAGGGAACTGGGATAACTAGTTTGTATTTTAGAGAATGAAGAGAGATAGGTAACTTGTGAAATCATCAGATTAATTATACCAGCTGAAATGTGTAACTTTGGCAATACGCCTTCTATGTAAGGTGAATTCATTTCACTGTAGAAGATGGTTTTCTGGAGATTGGTGTAGTATAAAGCTTTTTTCCTGTAATATATTATTACTGGTTTATAGGAATAAATGTAAAGAACATTGGTCATTTGGTCTCCTGAGTGTATTTTATAATAAACCATAGTGTGGTCAAGCAACTGACTATACTATTTATCAACAAAATGATCTCTCCGGAGCCGTGTTGACAGTTAGTGTTGTGACAACTGTAGGTGTGACACAATATGTGATTTTTGAGGGAGATACTGCAGTCCCAGGTTACATAAGAAATCAGCATGTCAAATTCTAGATACTAAATGATGGGTGTTATTCATCTTTGAGAAATTTGCCAATTGGGAGAAGAACTAAGGATTGTGGAGATAGCTGTTTCATTCCCATTCAACATTATGTTTAGGTTTACGTTCTGCCATGCCTGACAATGGCGGGGGGAGAAGCAGGGGCCCAGTAATTCAAAAGGTCCTGGAACCCCTGACCCTTTAAATTGCTGCTGATGTGCTGTGCGGCATGCTCCAAGCAGTACTGAAGACTGCAGAGAGGGGGCACATTGTGGTCCAGACAGTGCTGAAGGCCGACTGCCGTTGGCCCTGCCCCCTTCTTTCCCACTCAATCTGCCACTTCTGGGCAATTTAAAATACCACGAGCCACCACATGCATCTCTGAGGCCTTCTCTCTCTCTCTCTCTCTCTCTCTCTCTCTCTGTAGCAGTGGCATGGAACAAACACCTGTATTAAATGGTGGCAGGTGGAACTGGGAGATGCATGGGGGGGTGCATAGGGAAGCAGGTGGGGTCAGGTGATGTGCGGGGGGTAGGGGTAGGAAATCTGTGGCAGCCCCTCTCTCCCCCAGAGCTGCTGCCAGAGGGGGGTGCCCTAGGTAAGTGCAGCACCCCTCCCTGCCCTTGACACCCACTTGCACATACCACTCCCTCTCTATGCAGAGAAACTTCCTGATAGTGACATCATTTAGCCTGGGGAACAATGGAAGTGGTGGGATCACTTTTACTAGGCAAATTTACAGCTAGACTAAACAAAAGGCTAGTGAACATATAGCTGGCGATAGTCCTGTATTAACAGTGGGAGATGGACTAGATGACCTAATTTTCCATTTCTAGATTCTTTTCACTTTAAGGCTCTCTGCCCCTTCATACTGTTTGTTTTTACATGACTTTATTTTCCTTTCATTCCTCTTTGTGAAACAAACCCACATGTGTTTGCTCCAGTGTTTCAGTGCTGATAACTTGCACATTGTGCCAGTTAGCTTTTCTATTCTCCCACTTTATTTTCCATGACCTAGGGATCTATGTTCCCCTAAAGCAGCAGGTTCACAATAACCCTGTGGAATTTTTCCTAGAGGTGCAGGTGGCAGGGTTCAAGACACCTTTAACTTCAGGGATGCCTTAGAATAGCTAGACTGGGCACAGTCCCTTCTGACTGGAGTCGAGTGGAACATTTCCAACCAGTTTTTTTGTTGGAAAATGATGATTGATCAAAATTAAAACTTTCCCCTTGAATATCTAATTTTACAATAATTGTAACTTCCATCAGAGTTCTGGTAGGAATAAACTGCTTCCTTAAAAACAGATTGTGTATGAATGTGTATTCCTTTATTGTGAAACATTGGCAGATCAAACACGTTGCCATCAATGGCTACTGTATGCCTACATGTCTGAGAAAAGGTATGAGGGGAATTCCTTTAGAAATTCCTTGCATTTTGATGTTGTTTTCATGTCTCATTTGCAAATCGAAGGAGGGCGGTGAAGAATTTAGAAAGGGGAACTACACAGCATTCTTAGTTTAATGGCTTCAGTACTCAACAGAAAAATCCAGACTCCAGCTTCTAAACCCAGCTGAGTGTCTTAGACTTTACCAAGTGGAGCACATATTGGCTGCCAAAAGCTATGGCTGTTACAAAGATGAGTGCATGCAGTTAGTACAGTGTTCTCCATGCTGTACCTGTATTTAATCTGCAGGCTGTCCTAAGTAGTATTTAAAGAAGAAGAAAAAAAATCAGTGAGCGTTGTAGATGAGACTAAAGTGCAATTATTTTTCAGAGTATATGCAAGTGTTCATCATCTTGATACTGCTCATCATGGGAGTCTTCGTTTTATTTGTATTCTTCTGGTGAGTACTCTTATGGTATAAAATCTGTTTAACAGTTATGACTCAGAGAATATCCAATGAAAGTGCCCCATAACTTGATTCAAAGTACACCGTCTATTAGTTGCCTGGGGAATGTTCAGCGAACATCCCCATGTTTCAGAGAATCATCCATGTTGTGAGCCCTGACAAAACTATTTTGAACACTGTAATCTGCAATGTAAGCTTGATGGTGATTTGTTGAGACTAACTCCTCTCAGTCATGAAGACAGGGTAACAGAGGTTGATTACAGCTTTATACCAATGAAGAAGGGATTGAGAGAAATTATACTTAATCATATCTAGAAGACTTGTGACATTAAGGAAGTCTGGCTTATGTCCCTCTTTTTGCACTTTACATAAAAGCCTTGAACCAATGAACAAAGATCTGCAAACAAGCAGAAATCTGGCTGGTGATCATAGGATGCATAGATAGTAAAAACTGAAGTTTTTAGAAATATAGGAACCCAAAAGAAATGAATCATTCCGTGAGCCATTTTAACTCCAGGAACACTTGGGTGCAGGTACAAAAGTGTCCGGCTACTGTTTTGTATTCTCGTATTCTTTAGGATTAGACTTTTTCTACAGAAATACAGAAGGTACTAAAATGGATTATACTGAAACAGTACAGAGACTTAGCTTACAAGGCACCAGCGGCCTTGTCAGGTCTCTCAGATTCTATTGCTTCTGGGAGATATGCCCGGAGGGAAATGTGGGAAATGGTACCTTGAGATCATGGCAACTGACAGTTGAGAGAAGGATGATGGGAAAGTCTTATTCTGCTTTGACAGGAGATCCTGGTACCCTCCTTGGAGCTGCAGGCAAATTACCTATGGCCTTAGGGGAGGTATTGTTCATTAGATTTCACCTTTGACATAAGAGAGATGAGCATAGCCCTCTGGGGAGATGAAGCCAGAGTCTGAGAAGACAAATCCTAAGGAGAACAGCTCTGCCCAGAGGACCAGTTTGGCCTATAGGACCAGCTCAGACTGGAAAGAAGGCTTAGGCGAGGGTCTGTATAATGTAACTTTTGAACTACCTTTTCTGCGGTGACTTTCTGTGTAGTGTGTAGGTTGTTGGAGTAGCCACCTGTTTAGTAGCCTATAGCTGGCTGACCTTTTAGGTGAGGAAAGGATGGTTAAAACCCCAGACTGGGACTTAGAGGCGCCAGGTTTTGTGTGCAGCTCTGCCATTGTCTTGTTATATGCCAAGTGACAATTCACTTAATCCATGATCAACTCTCCATTTGTACCTCACCTAACAGGAGTGAGGAGAAGTGTATTGCAAACTTTGTCCAATATTTGTGAGCTACTAAGATGTGGGCCAGATGAGCACCTAGAAAGAAAGTCTAGAAGGAGAAAGCTGTGCTCCAAAAAATGTGAATTTAAATGTAGCAAACCCCATATCTCTTACACACATACTAGCATCTATCTTTGGTACTTTTAGAATTGTTACAGAAAGCTAGAAATGTAGAGTGTATAGGGCCAGTAATACATAACCGATTTCTTCTGTTTAGAACGGGGATTAAAAGGACTTTTAGTACAGCTGTTTTATCTCATCAAAGCTTTGTAAGCATCTAGGATATTTAGTTTAAACCTGATCACTTATCAAGATATGTCACTTGCATTATTTGGCTCATTCAAGCAAATCAGCCTTGAATGGTTCGTTGCTCTATCAGCACTTAACCTCAGTTTTCTGACAGATTTCTTGAAGTTTCATTAATAATAATCTAGGAACAGAGAAGGGTAAAAAAAAAAATCAAAACAACTCCCTGATGTTTTTACATTTATTTTTTGATGCAACCAATGTGTAGCAAATGATCTGATTTGGTACCTAAAGTTCATTTGATCCATTAAAGCAAAATACATGATCATTATCACTCAGTGCCTCAAGTTGGAAGAGGAAAAATAAGACAATTAAGGATTTGAGTAGTGAAAAAGATGAAACAAATACCATGGAATGATCTAAAACAGAGGTTCTCAAACTTCACTGCACTCCAATCCCCCCTTCTGATAGCAAAAATTAGTAGATGACTCCCAGGAGGGAGTGACCAAAGCTTGAGGTCCACTGCCCTGGGCGAACAGTGAGGGGGCAAAGCCAAAGCTTGAGCGCCACCAACCTGGCAGGGCAGCCAAAACCCAAGAGCCTCAGTCCCATGCAGAGGGCCTGTAACCAGAACCCTTTTGTCCAGGGCTAAAGTCAAAACCTGAGTGGTTGGGCCTGGGTTTTGGGTTAGGACGTGGGTCCCTGAAAATCTAACCCCACTTTGGGGTCCCGATGCATAGTTTGAGCACTGCTGGTCTAAAATAATGAAACACATTTGGTATTTTTATTTGTTCTGGAGAATGCTTTTGCAGGAAGAGCTCCTCCTCTTGCCCCAAAGTCGCCTTCTGCTATAGCATCTACAGCCTTCTCACTCTTCAGAGATGTTGGGCATTGACATGAATTGTATCTTAAAGGAAAATGCAGGACAATGTAGCACTTTAAAGACTAACAAGATGGTTTATTAGATGATGAACTTTCGTGGGCCAGACCCACTTCCTCAGATCAAATAGTGGAAGAAAGTAGTCACAACCATATATACCAAAGGATACAATTAAAAAAATGAACAAATGGGTCTGGCCCACGAAAGCTCATCATCTAATAAACCATCTTGTTAGTCTTTAAAGTGCTACATTGTCCTGCATTTTGCTTCAACTACCCCAGACTAACACAGCTACATTTCTATCAGTATCTTAAAGGGACTGTCAAGGCTGTTACCCACTCTGAGTGCGGAAGATGGGGGCCTGCAAGAGACCCTAAAAATACCTTGCCTCTATAGGCTTTTGTTTAAAAAACTTCCCAAGGTCACAGATTCTCTGGGCTTGGGAGATAGGCTGCCACCATCAAGTGAAAACCCCTTTTTTCTTAGGCCCAGGAAGAAAGCACTTGGAACTTCTTCCAGAAGGATACCCCAAGCTCTTTTACCACAAGAGAGCTTTAAAAAAAAAGAGAGAAAACAATCTGCAATCTCTGGTAGCAGACTTCTCAGTCTTAGGCACGCATACTCAAACCTCCTACCTTCCAGGACACAAGAATCAAATCATCACTTTAAAAAGGTGATTTTATTAACAAAACAAAAAAGATATATACGGTAAAGCATACTCGGTTGCTAAGTGTTATAAAGCAACTGAGAAAAGAACAGATTAAAACACAGAGAATTGTATCTCTGGGATTCAGCTTCAAACAGTGTATTGGAGGGCAGGGAGGCACATGGACTGAGCACAGAGAAGTTTGACCAAACAATAAAACAAAGAAAATAAACCTAATTGAGTCTAAATAAATATTTCATTCCCTATTTTCTTACAGATTCATGCTTTCAGCTCCAGTCCATTTCCCTGACCAGTATTTCTTGTAGGCATGGTAATTCTACAAGGTTTAATTCATCTTGTTCCCCCCCAACTCCTGACTTAAAATTCACACACAAAAAACAGCAGGCAGGTATATCTTCCCATTCAGCTTTCAACACTTCCTCCCTTTGGCTCCTCTGGCTCCCTGCCAACATACCCTCACTGCCTGAGTTTAACCCTTTAGTCACTGAATGCTGGCCATCCATCCATCCTATCCATCACAGGGACTGATCACATATTTAAGGAGAAGAAACATCAGCCCCATGGGCGTCCGGTAGACTAAGCAGGGGAAGAAAATTGCCTCCCCAAACTGCCAGGCATGGCTCCACCCACACTCCGCCCCAGAATGCCTACTATACGCATTCTGGGGGTAGAGTATTGCTGCCCCCAGTGCACTGGGAACCAGGGAGGTGGGAGCAATTTGGCCTCTTCCCTCCCTGGTGCTTTGGGGGCCGGGCAGGCTGAGGCACATGTGGACACATGCTCCCTCCTGTCTGTTCCCCTCCTCGTGGCAGAGGGCAAAGGGGTGCACTACTGCATACTGCCCCATCTCTTCCCCACCCTGTGATGGTGGTGGGGCCTTAGCAGAGAGGGTGGGGTGGTAAGTGGGGCTGCAGGCTTGCCTCCCCCATTTCCAGCTACACCAAATGCCACGATCTGCCCATTGAGAGCATTATATGGTGTTCTCCCCTGTTCATTCAAAAAATGCCAGCCTCTGAGGTAGCTTCTCTGATATGTTCTAGTAGAGGATATTTCTGTGAATATACAGAGGAAAATATTCTGCTACGATCAGTGGGCGATGGGAAAGAGCTTACATTTTTTGTCAAATTTCCTCTCTCCCATACTAGTTCTGCCCTGGGACTAGTAACTCAGAGGGCTGGATTTGTTGGCCGGCACATTCACTTCAGTTTTAAACAGCTAGAGCACGATACAGAATTCCTGTTGGGTAGGGGAGGTGTCCACTTGCATAAAACTGGGGGAGTAGGCTTCCTATACCAGAAGGAGCAGTACCTGTCCTGGGAGGGTAACAGGGGAATGGCGGGGGCAAGGAGTGGGAAGGCAGTGGGGAGGAGGAGTATGGTGGAGCAAGGTTGCACTGTGTTGATTCCTCACTAATGTAATGTCCCTGAAGGAACAGATAGTAGAAGGGTATTGGACCAAGATTTTGGCTGAAGGTTACTATGTTGTTCATCATGCTTTAGACCTCACTGTAGTCATGTGTAATTATATATTATCTCATAATTTTTTGTAGCAGATGGAGTTTATTAACTCCTCCTGAGGTAAAGGTCAGTGGAGTCTTTTCTGGAGGGAGGAATCTGGGAGGCTAGGACAAGCGAAATAGAAATGTGTGGGACAGCCATGCTGGTTACATGGCTGGTTTTGTATTACCTGTTAACCCAGACTCAAGGCCAGGAGGTACATTGGAGCATTGACTCAAGACCTGAGCATTGTGGTGCTGAAAGTCAGACATCTCACTTTATTTTCAGTACCACACTGACCCAGAGTGCTGGTTGTACTTTGTACTGTTCATCTTCAAAGCACTTTGTAAATATGAAATGCTAATCCTCCTGCCATCCCTGTGAAGTAGAGCAGTTAGTATAATCACACAGACCCAGAAACAATGACTTGCTCAGGACTCCAGAGGGAGTTTTTTCTAAGGAAGAATT